ACGTTTTGGGAGCCACTGCATGCAGGTAGATGGAAGTAATTATAGGTGAAAGGAGCTGGAAGGTGTGCTCTGTTGTCTTTTGGATTGTCAGATTTTCTGCAGAGGGGATTTCCCAAGTCTGTTTATCTCTTGCATCCTGTGACTCGGGTCATTAGCCCAGGAAGGAACCAGCAACTTGTCCTGGGAGGTCTGAGCTGTGTTAGATCAGTTTCTTTTATTATGGAGCACCTCCGGGGTCGCCCCACGGCTGCCCTTTGGCAGGTGCTGCTGAAGCATCATGGATAGGTTTCTTCCTCTGAAGTTTCAGAATGTAATGGGATGTTAGCAGGAAACAGAGAACTGACTTGTGAAGCCCGTCAGTGTCTGTGTGCCTGATGCAGCCAGCCCCAATTGCCGAAACTTCTGTCCTTCACATTACCTAGGAGTCAGGCTTTGTTGAGAGCCTGCAGTCTATGTGCAGAAGACAGAAGGCACAGGGCCAACTGGGTATCTTTAATGTAAGCTCATGTGCCCAAATTATAGTGAACTATAAAACCAGTGCTGCCGTGTTCTTCTCCAACTCCTTCCTGCCCTTCACCTGGCCCAGCATCCCACCTGCACCACCGAAACGTGGCAGTGAGCAAATCACTTGGCCTCTCTGAACCTCAGTTTACCCAGCTTTAAAGCCAGAATTATGGCAAGAGTTACTTCACACGCCGGGGTGATGGGAGAATTAATTAATGTTTATAAAGACTTTGAGGTCTTCAGATGAAAATTGCTACGGTATATAAGTGCAAAGTAATTATGATTATCATTACTTTCATTTGCATGTATAGACTGTAATTAGCTGTGGATTGTATTGCATTGAGTGTGAATAATTTAAAAGCTCTCTTCATGAAGGTGTCACTTTAAATGTTTTTGCATTTTGAATTTAATAATACCAACGTTTAGCTTCGTTTTCCCTTTCCTTCCCCTCTGATAGCGATATATCCTACAGTGTTGGTTTACTGGAGTTCTGAATGCAAAACAGTCTATTTCTCACCCTATTTGCCTTCATTTTGTTAGTTCTGCTCTGGCAAATGCTGATAAAGGAGCGTATTTAACATTGAGGGGTGTGCTGATGGCACCTCCCAACTGCCCTGCAGAAAGCAGGAGGTGTGGGTGCATCCATAGCTCTTGTGCCAGCCCTGCTGAGGTCCCACTCCCATTTATTTCCCCACTTCCACTTTGTGATTCAACATAGACAGACCCTCAATTTTTCATACAGAAGTGATGAAGAAGGAATCATAAGGAGAGCCTTGTTCTCTGGGCTTGTCACCTACCAAATGCTTTGCAAGTGTCTCCTTAAGTCTTGATTTGCAAACCCGTGGATCACCTGTGACAGCAGCTCTCCTCTTCTAGGCAAATTCTCAAGCCGAATGCAAGAAATCGTTCCTGTCCCCTTGGAACTGAAAGCATTTGAGGAAAAGAGATTCATCCCTCAGGTTGTTTCTAGAACCCTGCAGTTAGGTCCAGGTGTATTTTCCTTAGAAGCTGAAGAGTTATTTAATAAATGGTCCCCTGAGCCTCAGGGATTTGTCTGCTAAGAACACGATGAGCTGTAGGTTTTTATGATCTGTGGAAGTCAAAGCCAGTGGGTTTGTTTAGTGACCCTAAACCCAAGGCCCAGTCTTTGGAGCTTATTTGAGATTTTTGTTTTATGCTGTGAAAGCAGTAATTGTGCTTCTTAAGCTGGAAACCACACTTAAATTAACATCTCTTAATTAGGCAAGGGAGAAATTATTGTTTCTGTATGCTTGTGCTGACAAAAGGCAGGATACACAGCCCCTTCATTGCTGGGACCTGATGCAGCAGGGCTCCTGTCTGCTGCTTAACCCTATCCCTGCAGCTAAGAGTATTTATGGGTATGCCCAATCAACTGCAGTGGTCTTGCAGAAGTTTTCTGTTACTTAACTGCACAATCTGGCTCTCTGACACCAGACAAAGCTGGTGGAATGCTGCAGCAGTCCCATAGCATCACATCGTGGGATGGCTCTGTGTGATGACTTGTGATGATACAGAAGCCCACTTGAATTTCTTGTGAGGGAAAGGGTCTTGTTTTCCAATGCTTGAGCTAAATTCCCACTTAACAGTGTTTTCCATTACTCCTAAGGACTCTGAAAAATCTCCTGCTGCCTACAGTAGTATCTGAAACTGGGAACCTGTAAGGGAAGAAGGCATGTTGTGGTTGTCCCATCACTACTGGTGGAGAGCAGAAGCCTCAAGGGTCTGGTGGAGCATGTACTGGCATGAAGTGGGCCTGAGGGGAGCAAGGTGTCTTTAAAACAGTTAGAAAAATGGAAAGAAAGTGATTTGCCCTTGTTATCTGTGCTAGATGGAACAAGGACACTTAGGATTAGGAAGATGCCGAATGACTACTGGAAAAAATTTTTCATGGAAGGTGTGAGAGGACTGGAGCAGAGGGCACTGAGTGGTCCCATAGCTGATGGGGGAACATCTCTGAAACTAACTCTGGGATATGGGCAAGTTAGCAAAGAGATGCATCACATGTGCTCTTAAAGACCCTTCTGGCCATATAGCTCAGTCCTGGTGAGACTACTGATGATTTGAGTCCCAGGCTAGCTCTTAATTCTGGGGTTTGCCCTTTTCACGTGCTGAAATTCTGTACTTTCTGTATCAAGTCTGGCCAGAAGTTTATCTTAGAGTGATTTATGCAGGCTAAATTGTGGCACTGAATTGAGTGGAGCTGGGAGCACAGTGGTTTGGGCCAGGTAGCTCAGATGTGTTTGAATACTTGTTCTGTTTTGAATAGCAGTGTTTGGGCTGGAATTCCCCATATGCTTCTACTGCCATAAATGTGTGCTCTTAATGAGCACAGCAGTGACATCCCCAACACCAAAATTAACTATGGTCAAACTGGGGACTGTCTTCTTTTCCATAAAAGCAGTCTGGGCACCCCTACTCTTTGACCTCCAGAAGAGAGAATCTGCCACTAAAAGCATTTCTGCTTCTTTTGGAGCTGTGAGTCATCTCTACAAAATGATAAGTGAAACCTGAATTTAGTTCATTTATTTGGAATGACTGCAGGAAATTGGGTTACCTTGCAGGTCTGCTCATTCCAATATGCTCTGAGTTTCTCTTCCTGTGCAGCACAGTGGAGAGTGTTAACCTTGTAGGAGATGTTTGGATATTTTTCAGTAACAGGGTGGGTGTCTGTCCAGACGTTCTAAATCTATTTAGCATGCTTGAGTGTAGAGAATGAAAGAAATCAAGAATTGTTTACTGTATCTATAAATGTGAATCAATGGCTTGTTAGTTCATGCCAACCTCATTAAAATTAACTGTATCTGAAGGAATGAATGATTTTATGGTGATGGATAATCCACCTAGAGTACAAAGTTATTAGAGAAGATGAAGAACCTGGGAACGCAGTGAAAGTAGTTCATTTGAGAAGACTGTTGTCAGCAGAATGCTTTTGCAGGTAATTATGCATGTTGAATTACTATGGAGAGAAAGGGCAGCAGCATCTGCTGACCTAACCCAGCACAGTTATTGTGAATTCAGTGCAGATGTGGGGATTTACATCCGCTGAGGATCAGGGTCTGATCCCAACCAAGAGCTGAGTCCATGAAGAGATACCAGGTGACTTAAATGGATTGAGTTTATTATCATATAAAGTCTCACTGCTCTGCCACTTAAGTAGATAGCCCCACCACACAATCAGTATTGCCTTACAGATGAATGTTGCTCTTCTCAATGTCATTCTCTGCAGCCTCAGAGAACATCACAGACCAGCTGAGCACCTCATCCTCCTGGACATGGTACTATGTTTATTCACTGCATGTTCTATCTTGATCCTACTGATACTACATCCATGTTTTGATACAGCAAGGGCAAAATAATCAGAAGAAAAGATGAGTTCAAGAAGAAGGATCTTCCTTGCATCATTCCTGGTTCATCCATGGAGAAGCTAAGATGCTCCATATAATGTTAATTGCAAAAAAGTGACTGTACCATTTTAGATATTCTACTCACCAAAACGATGCCATGATTTGGGGTGTGGAACATGTCTGCACATGGACATTTTTTCCCTCAGTGAGGTTTTGTGTTGCTGCTTTGGGCTGTGATTGTGAAGACATTGCAGTGCAGTTCCCAACCAGCCCCATTTCACTGCTAAAGCAGGAGCATGGTGCTGTGTTATGTTTTAAGGGAGCTTGGAAGCCACTGGGTTAGACATTAGGTACAAGATATGCAAGAAGCAATACTCAAACAGACTTTTTTTTTAATTTATAGTCCCTTTTCTTAACCAAGCCAACTGCATGACTTGTCCTCTTTGGGGCATCACATATTCAGATCTCATCTTCTTGAAATCAGGTCTGTTGTTGCAGTAAATAAGCTTAGTTTCCAAAACCCTTCACTAGCACTTTATAAACTGTCTGGTGATTTTTGGGATGCCCCTCTCCTTGGTAAACCCCCCAAGCAGTCGGTGCTTTAGAGCCTGCTGGAGCTGCACAGGGCTGTCTGTTCCTGCAGGCGCAGGAGCGCAGCGTGACATTGATGCCACTGCACACAAATGAGTATCCCCATGAATATTTGCAGTCTGTGAAGATACATAGGTACAAGCGTTGCTTGTAATTAGAAGTGACAACCTGTGGCTCTCCTCTCCACCTCCAAAACCTGCTACAGCCCTTTCACCGAATGCCACCGGAACAGTGGAACTGTCCCTTTAATTAGCAGCGTATTAATAAATCCGTCTTGTTCTCTAATCCCCACACACATAGTACAGTGATTCATTAGCACAGGAAGAGGCAATTTAGATTTCCTCAGATAATAGCAGCTGTCACTAATCAAATTAAAGGCGGAAATGCATATCAAAAGTTGGGCGAAGTGGTCTGGCAGGGAGGAGAGCTGCAGGTTGGGGATGGCTGTCACCCGCCTGGCGGAGCACAGGGCTGCTGGCACGGTGGTCCCTGGGGGTAGCAGCAGCTCCGGTGCAGATCCTGGTGATCCCAGAGTCACACAGAATCACAGAATCACAGAATCACCCGGGTTGGAAGGGACCTCAAGGATCATGTAGTTCCAACCCCCCTGCCCAGCAGGGCCACCAAACACACACATTCAGATCAGGTTGCCCAGGACCCCGTCCAACCTGGCTTTGAACACGTCCAAGGACGGGGCATCCACAACCTCCCTGGGCAGCCCGTTCCAGGGCCTAACCACTCTCCTTGTAAAGAACTTCCCCCTAACATCCAACCTAAATCTTCCCTCCCTCAGCTTGGATCCATTTCCCCTCGTCCTGCTGTTGTCAGCCCTTTTGAAGAGTTTACTCCCCTCCTGGGTGTAGGTTCCCTTCAGGTATTGATAGGCTGCACTGAGGTCACCCCGCAGCCTTCTCTTCTCCAGGCTGAACAAGCCCAACTCCCTCAGCCTGTCCTCATAGGGGAGGTGCTCCAGCCCCCTGATCATCTTAGTCGCCCTCCTCTGGAACCTTTCCAAAATCTCTATGTCTTTCTTGTACTGAGGGCTCCACACCTGGACACAGTACTCCAGATGGGGCCTCACAAGAGCCGAGTAGAGAGGGACAATCACCTCCCTCTCCCTGCTGACCACCCCTCTCCTGATGGAGCCCAGGATCCCATTTGCCTTTCGAGCTGCCAGAGCGCACTGCTGCCTCATGTTCAGTCTCTCGTCCATCAGGACCCCCAGGTCCTTCTCTGCCGAGCAGAGTCAGCAGCCTGTGTGGCTGGTTTGCATGTGCAGAAATAGCTGGTGCAAAGCCTCCTATCTTAACACAGAAGCACTGTGTTTTGAACCATTACCGTAGTGTGGATGCCCTTTAGGGTTGCTATGCTACTTGGGCAAGCAGGAAAAGATCTGTACTTTGCATTCTTTGCTCAGAAAGGCTATGCTTTGCTGTTTGTTTGTTTTCTTTAAGCATCTCTGGGCATGGCTAATGCTTGCTCTGAGCAGCAGGCTTGCTTCTGATCAGCAACACCCCTCAGTGTGGGACCCCCTGGGATGGATGACCCAGCAGCAGCCTGTGCTGAGCTCTGCTCTCAGGCAAGGGCAGAGCAATGATGCTGAGCTCCCAGCAGCCAGGTGTGGATGGAACAGAGCACACTGATAGACTGCATTGAGATCCCCTTCCCCTGTTTTGACAGCCATCAACTTGAGACAGCCGTGAGAGGCGGATGCATTCCCAATGCCTTTTCAAATCTTTGCTCTTCCTTCATGAGCGTCCCATGGCAATGAGTGCTGTAGGCTAATCACAGTAGAAAGTGTTTCTTTTTGCAGGCTTTGAATTTTTCTCTTTTCAGCTTCTCTGAGTGCTCCTCACTGGTGTGCTGCAGCAAGAACACCACGTCTCACCATCCTTTCTCCAGCCCACCTGTGATGTGACTGCACTGATCACAGCCCTACTGGTTTGTCTCTTTTGAGGAACTGATGCTGGCCTGTGTCGGAGGAGCTGTTTGGTAGTTCAGCTCTGTGTAACAAGACGGGACTCATGGCCACAGCTTGTGTCACAGACACATGCAGGCTGACAGTGCTGGCAAAGTGCAAGCCTTGCCTTCTGAATATCTTCTTGGCACCAGTGTGGATAAAATTGACAAAGTCTTTCTTGCTTTGATGGTGATGTAAGGAATTAAATGTGCAGGATAAGGTGAGAAGCATTAAGCAAGCATGATGCCAGCCCTTGGTTCCCTGCTGCTGTCAGGTTTCAGCTGTTCCCTGGCTGTTCCCCAAAGCAGAGCAGTTCTGTCGGCTCCCTGACTCCCAGCCTTGCAGAAAAAGCAGCAGATCAAAGGAAGGAAAGTGCTCCCTTCAGTAGCACTTCAATCAGTGATATGAGCAATTAAAATACGAATTAATCTAAGGAAGATGAAAATGCATATTTTGAACAGGAGCTGTTGGAGTCACCTTGAACTTGTGCTGTTTAGTCTGGGTGATTAAAGACATTTACACCCCATTAAAACTGTTTGGATGTGACCAGCTTGTCAGCAGGGTGTTCTGTGAGCAGAGACCTCTCTATTGACTGGATTGTGTATTAATTCAGAATAACCTAATAGTGTCACTGCGAGGAAAAACAAACAGTCAATATTTTCTTGGCGAGGAGAGGCAGTGAGAGCATTTCTTCCCAGCACCGTTAGGATGATAGCAGACAATAGCAATTAGCTTTGCCTTTGTCCTGAGCTGGTTGTGTCAGGCTGCTGTCAGGCTGTTCATCTCCTCTGGTTTGTGTTGGGTGAAGGAAAAGCAGTGGGTGGAAGCCACTCTCTTGGGGTCACTGGTGGACTTGTGGAACCTTCTTTCAGATGTCAGCCCAAGGGCTCCTTGCTGGGCTTGGGACAAGACCACACACCTCAGCCCCATGTCTGAAACAGGAAGAGCCACCTCCCACCCTGTGCCCCCAGGTCTCTTTGGGCTGAACATGGCTCGGCTGTTGGGGATCTTTGGCAGCATCACTCCCTCCCAGCAGCAACATCACTGCCTGCATGGCATTGGGCTGACAGGTCAGGTAAGGTGTTGGCGATTAATCATAGCTCTGAGTGAATCCCAGCTCTACCCAGAAGCAGATGCTCCGTGCCTCTTGGGGGGGCATTACCAAAACAAGAGCTGCCTCTGTTTGCAAACGGAAAAGCAATGCGAAGGGTCGCAATTTCTGCTGCTTGTTTTTCTTTCCAAACACCAAGCCTCATTTCTGGGTTACACTCCTAGGAAGGAGGAATGCGTGAGTGTAGCACACAGTGTTTATTCATCCCTGAACATAATAATCCGCCTTCAGAAAGCCAGCTCATAGGCCAGGCTGTGGGAGGGACAGCGGACAGCTCTGTCCTGAGAAGTGCATGAAGAGGGACAGTACAGAGGTGAGCACAGGGACAGCCTGGTGTGCATCAGAGAGCAAGGTCAGGGCAAGTGCCAAGCCTTGCAGCAGCACACATGGGCATTCTGGCTATGCAGGATGCCTGCACACAGTGTTCTGCAAGCCAGCAAGCTACAGAGCATAGCACTGAGAGAAAGACTTGAGGAAAGGATCCATCCCCAGGAAGGCGGCAGGATCTGTTATCTTACCCACACGATTCAGGAGCGTTGTAATAAAAAAAGCTGTTAGTTCCAGTTCCCATTTGAAGAAGACCTTGATTTTTGACTGTTAAATCTTCCAGGTCCTCCATGGAGTCCTGGCAGAACAGGTATGAGCAGATCTGCCTGCAAGGTCTGGCTGATGTGGGCTGTGATGTGGAAACACCATTATTGCTGCCTGACCATCCTGACGTGGGTGGAAGTGTCCTGAGAAGTGTTGGAACTTCCAGGTTCTGGAATTTCCAATTACACTTTTGTCAGAAGGAAGTCTATTCACTGGGCAGTGACACAGATTTGGATTTCCCACATAAACTAAGACAAAAACTTACTGGAAACAATGCATTGTGAGAAGTGATGCCATTTATATCAATAAACTGTGTGTAAAAATGTTGGATCACTTTCCCTCATCTCCAATACCGATTATTTTTACCTGTGACAGTCAGCAAAGATCCAGTGCAGTTTCCACCAACGTCTGAGAGCTTCCTTTTAACCTCAGCCGTTGCTGAATTAGTTCCTAAATAAACCTCTGGTCATCACTTGAAAGGGCTGTGCTAAGTATATTATAATGGAACTCATAATAAACACATTTCCTTGAACTATAGGATAAAATAAATCAGGTCTCTGTATTAACCGCCTAGCTAAGAGAGGTGAATGGAATCGAAACATTACTCGAGTCATTTCTATGTGGGAGTGAGGGACACTTTCTCATTACAGGTACTTCAGGGCTATGTTTAAATAAAATACTTTCTGTTGGCTCGCCCTTGAACTCTGTCCCCGTCATCCAATTAAGCAGAGCTCAGTGAAAGAGCAGCGTAGCTCAGAGCTTGCCCTGCAAACTGTAGGGCACTGTAAAGGCTCAGATCTAATCCTGCCATCATGAGGGGTTTGAAAAGTTTAAATCAATTGTCTGTGGAAAATCAATTATGAAGCAGAGCAGTTTGCCGTCGTCGCAAGAGGAACTGATTCATCTGTGGAGTGCTTTCCTGTTCAGAAGGAATTATATTTGAGGTCTATGGCAGCAAATATTGGAAGAGAAACAGAACAACTTCCTACTTAATGAGAAGCCAAGCACCAACTGGCGCTGCTGCCAGGCCATGGAGCTCAGTGCTTCAGCTGGTGGCAGTGGTTCTTTTTGCCATGTCTCTTGTGCTGGCACGCTTCAGGCATTCCACTGAACTCACTGATCCTTTTTCATCCTGTTATTTTTGTGAAAACACAGACTTGGTTGTCAGTGCAAGTTACTGCCACTGGTACAATGGCCCAGCAAAACCCCAGCTGGTACTGATCTCATTTGAGTCTGTATTAAGTAATTAAGAAATGACATGTTGTCATTGACATCAAGGGATGCTTTGGGATTGCTTATGGGAAGACTTCAGTAAGTTCAGATTAGACCCTAGATCTTAGTAAGGGTTAATGCATCTCTGGGTGTAAGCACAGGGTCTGGTTGTTACAGAACCCTGCGGAATACTGATGCTGGCACACCTTGATTCTAGCTGTTCCTGTTAGGAGAAGAGGCAATAAATGCAATTTTAATGGAGGAAATTGCAGTGATAGAAGTGAAAAGAAAGAGGGGAACATTTCTGGATGTATAACCTTTGTGGATATTCCAGAAAGCACGAAGAAAGCATTCTTGGTAGTTGGTCACCAGAACAAGTGACCACAGAAGTTCTGGGATCTCCACCCTTAGAGATACTTAAATCTCAACCTCTGTGGCCCTTGGCAGCTTGATCTACCTGAGAGAGCTCTGAGCAGGAGGTTGCCCTAAAGGCTCCAGAAGTCTCCTACATAAATTATTCAGGAATTCTTTTCCTTGTCTGGTCCCACCCAGATCCACTCTGCAGACATCCAGTGGTGAGAGACCATGTGACAAATAACCATGTGTCATTACAAGTGGCATTTACGGGTTGCTGGTGTCATAGAACCACAGAATGGCCTGGGTTGCAAAGGAGCACAGTGCTCATCCAGTTCCAACCCCCTGCTGTGTGCAGGTCGCCAACCAGCAGCCCAGGCTGCCCAGAGCCACATCCAGCCTGGCCTTGAATGCCTGCAGGGATGGGGCATCCACAGCCTCCTTGGGCAGCCTGTTCCAGTGCCTCATCATCCCCTGTGTGAAAAACTTCCTCCTAATATCCAACCTAAACCAGTTTTTCTGTGAAAAATCAGCTCTAAGCACCTACCAGTCACGATATGAATGGCCCTGAGCTATGCCCACTGGTACAGAAGGGGCTGATATTGCAAACACCAAAACAGAAAGCAGATTGTGGTCTCTTCTTTCACTGCTTTCTCTTCCTTGCTCCATTATTTGGCTGTTGCTTTTTTGCCTTCTTCTGGGGGTGTTTTTTAGCACAGGGCGATACTTGATATGTCACAAGCGAGCAATAAAGCAAAAATTATTGCGGAGTCATTTTACTTACGGAGTGCTATTAGAGCTGCCATTTATTTGCTGTCATTTAATTGACAGAGCTTGAATTAGACAGGAGAAATTGTCAGTGGTTCTCTGCTGCCAGGGATGGGGTAAGGAATTTAACATCATATGGTGATAGGGAAAAGGAAGCATCTCAGCTGTCCCCATTGCACATCGTGTTGGCATGCTGTTATACAGAGGTTGCAAGTACTCCTTTGCCACACAAGGTGACAAAACAGGGAAGAAAAGTGGCATTTTTTTGGTTGACATCCAGCACAGACAGTGCAATCTGTGTGCTGATCTGAGCAGCTCTTCAGATGGAACAGAAATCCTGCTTGGGAAGAAAGAGATCACAAGGGAAGGACAGGAAGAGAAATGGAACTGGAGAACTTGGGAACTTGAACTTATTTCTTTTCTTCTTTACAGTCTGCGTAGTGATGGAAGATTGGAAAGGCAGAAGAGGGTGAACTTCCACTTCCAAATGGTGAAGTAACAGCAGAAATGAGAGATCTGTACATGGAGACAACTAGCACACGTTACCCAACAGCTGGATTAAAAAGCAAAGACGAAAGCTCATCATGTGAGTAACCTGATCAGACAGAGGGAGAAGTGCACTGAGTGGGCATTCACAGGGAGTACGATGGATTTTACTTTCCCTTTCCCCCCTTTTTGTTGCATGTCCTCTCATGTTATTGAGAGGAATTAAAAACAGTGCTGTTCTCACACTTGAACTTTTCACGTGTGCTCTGTGGTTCCTCAGGACATCATCACAAAAATCCCAGAGAGGCCTTTCCTCCCTTGCCACCATTATTTGTGGAGCTATAGAGCAAATGTTGTGATTGCAAGTTGGTACAAATTAAATTCATTTTCTGGTGGTCTGTTTTTGATTAGAATCAGGTAGGGTTGGTAATCTTCTGACATGTCCAGAAAAGCTGAATTACTGTGTAAATGAATCCACGCTTTTTATTGATTTGAATTAAAAATTCTATCAACTCCTAAGGTGAAAGTAAAAAAAACACAACGTTCTGATATCTAAGATTCACTTTCACACATAGTTTAGAAATAGTATTTCTATTGTATGTCTGAGTTATTCACCAAGACACCAAAATTAGAAATAGTATTTCTAAACTTCTTGTCCACTGGTTACAGAGGAAAAAGAAGAATAGTTACCAGTGTCTTACATTGTACTAATTTTAGAGGGTTGTTTTAAAATAGAGTGAGAGACAAGATTTTATAATTACATATTTTGTATCTGTTACAGTCAACATCACGGAAACATCTCTGAAACACAGAGTGTGAAATCCATCCCTCCTCCTGCTCTGAGCACAATCTGTCCCACTGACTTTGAAGCCCAGCATGGGAATTAACACAGAATCACAGAATCACAGAATCACCTGGGTTGGAAGGGACCTCAAGGATCATGTAGTTCCAACCTCCCTGCCTAGCAGGGCCACCAAACATCCACATTCAGATCAGGTTGCCCAGGACCCCGTCCAACCTGGCCTTGAACACATCCAAGGATGGGGCATCCACAACCTCCCTGGGCAGCCCGTTCCAGGGCCTAACCACTCTCCTTGTGAAGAACTTCCCCCTAACATCCAACCTAAATCTTCCCTCCCTCAGCTTGGATCCATTTCCCCTAGTCCTGCTATTGTCAGCCCTTCTGAAGAGTTTACTCCCCTCCTGGGTGTAGGTTCCCTTCAGGTATTGATAGGCTGCAATGAGGTCACCCCGCAGCCTTCTCTTCTCCAGGCTGAACAAGCCCAACTCCCTCAGCCTGTCCTCATAGGGGAGGTGCTCCAGCCCCCTGATCATCTTAGTCGCCCTCCTCTGGACCCTTTCCAAGATCTCTATGTCTTTCTTGTACTGAGGGCTCCACACCTGGACACAGTACTCCAGGTGGGGCCTCACAAGAGCCGAATAGAGAGGGACAATCACCTCCCTCTCCCTGCTGACCACCCCTCTCCTGATGGAGCCCAGGATCCCATTTGCCTTTCGAGCTGCCAGAGCGCACTGCTGGCTCATGTTAAGTCTCTCGTACATCAGGACCCCGAGGTCCTTCTCTGCCGAGCTGCTCTCAAGGACCACTCCTCCCAGCCTGTACGGGTGCCTGGGGTTCTTCCGGCCCAAATGCAAAACCTTGCACTTTGCCGTGTTGAAACTCATTAGGTTCACCCGAGCCCAGCCCTCAAGCCTGTCGAGGTCCCTCTGAATGGCATCCCTTCCTTCCGCCGTATCAACCGCACCACTCAGCTTGGTGTCGTCAGCAAACTTGCTGAGGGTGCACTCAATTCCCTCATCGATGTCATTAATAAAGATGTTAAAGAGCACCGGTCCCAAGACAGACCCTTGGGGGACACCACTTGTTACCGGCCTCCACCTGGACATAGAGCCATTGACCACCACCCTCTGTCTGCGGCCTTTCAACCAATTGCTTATCCATCGGGTCGTCCACCCATCAAATCCACTTCCCTCCAATTTGGAGATGAGGATGTGGTGGGGGACCATGTCAAAGGCCTTGCTCAGGTCCAGGTAAATGACATCGGTCGCCTTCCCTTCGTCCACCAATGCCGTCACTCCATCATAGAAGGCCACAAGATTAGTCAGGCATGACCTTCCCTTGGTGAAGCCGTGCTGGCTGTCTCGGATCACATGCTCATTCTTTATGTGATCGAGCATGTTGTCCAGGAGGATCTGTTCCATGATCTTCCCAGGCACGGAGGTGACGTCACCTGGTGGCTCTGCTATACATTTTCTTTCATAGTTACCAGAAAATATCAAGGTATATCAGTAATCCTGGTATAATATTGATTGGCAAAGGCCGGATGAGGGTTGGATTTAAAGACAAGAACTGTGTATCAAAGGGGCTGGTGATGCTTATAGGACATGCTGACAGTGCGAAAGGTGCTTCCATGCAAAGCACAGCCTCCAAGGAAATAACTCTCTAATATAAGAAATTAGACAGAGCCAAAGAATTACTCGGGCACTGCAGGGATTTCCACTGAGGCATGCTTTAAAATAGACCCAGTCTGGGCTTAATTCTGAACTCTCTCTGGGGGATGCTGAGATAGGTGTCAGGTAAGGTTGGGTCTGATTCTCGTGGAGCTACACCAGATCACAGCTATCCGAAGTGTCAAGTCCTAAGTTGCTCAGAGTCAAGCTGAGTTATTCACCAAGACACCAAAATATGAAATTAGATGTCTATCTTTTAAGCCCCTAAGATCAAAAATCAAGCTGCAAGTTTGATCTCCCGTGACCTGAGTTTCCTCTCTGCTGAATAAATCATCTCTGTGGTCATTGTAGTCTCTGCAGGAGAAGCTGTCCTCTGTCTCTAAAACTCACTTGTGGTAGAGCTACACAGCAGCCCAGGACATGGTATGGTTAAGCTTCATCTTGAAGGATAAGAAACTTGATATTCAGGCTGGCAGGGGCATCTTGTTCACTTGGCTTTTCCAAAATCTCAGGCTTCCTAACAGTCCAGGTTGAGAACTGCTAATGTTATAGCATAAGGAGAGCACAAAATTTGGGGGCCAGCAATGTTCCTGGTGTTCCCCTGTCCTGGGGGGCTGTTTTGCAGTGTGCAGAGCCCCTGGCTCAGTGCCTTGCTCCACAATCCTGGCACTGAGCCTCCTTGTGCCAGCATTTTAAGTCCACTCCCAGCACCAGTGCCATTTGCCAAATATGCAGGGATTCTCCATTAGCCATTACTGCTGCTGTCACATTTCCCAGCTGCTGGGAAAATCCTGATACAATCTCCACTGCATCTCCTTCATGTTCCTAAGCCCTCGGCAGAGAATTTCCTCTATTTCTGTGTCATAACTTCTTGGAGGAAGCTTTTTCTTCTGACCTGCTTTCTTGCACGTGCACTTCCCATCCTCTGCCACGCTCCACCTGCTGGGTTGGTTTTCTTCTTCCCTTTTTATACTGGGAAAGCGACTTACCTCAGTTAACATCCTCATTGGTAAAAGAAGAGCCACAGCACAGGGAGGTTAGTATGAATCTGAGTTATTGAAGACTGAAATAGCAAGTGTTTCTTTGGGGTGAGACCAGAACAAGAAGCACGAGGGATGTGTGCTAATTGCCATATAAACAACCCAAGCCTAATGATGCTCTTCTGCTGCTAATTTGTCATTCTCTGGAGCTCCACAGTCATGATGGTAGTGTGATTTTGGGAAGCTGGGGCTATGCTGGCTTAAAAATGGTCAGTGTTTTAATAAAGCGATCCATGAAGGCAGGGTGTAAGAGCAACAGAGAGGAGACAGGCAGGCATCATGTTGGGATAGAGGGCTGCAATTCGGTCGAGGACGCAGCTCTGGTTCATCCACACACCAACACCCCCATTGTTCAGGTATCTCCTCTCGCCTAATTAAATCTGTCTGTGTGCTTAGGCAGGGAGAGATGCAAAGTGCAGAAACAGTGTACAGTGCTTACATAAACGAAGTGATTTCTGCAGTAATCATTGCAGAAGTTAGCTAATGGCAGGGTACGGGGGCCTCCTGCTGAGTTTCCATTACCTTGTAATTTTCAGCTTGTTCACTGTTGCAAGAAAGCCCCTCTGTCTTGTAATTCCTCCAGCATTCATGTCTCATCTTCTCCAGACTTGAAGTACATAAGATGCTTTCTGCTGAGGGATTTATTGAGATAAGTTATTGAAGTCAAGCAGTGAGGCAAGCATCCAATATTATGCTATTCATCTCTGAATTTATGTTCCCACTCTCTTTTGAAGGTCTAATGTAATCACAAACAATTTGTTTTGTATATGTTTAAAAATTCATAATTTTCTTGTACAATGGAAAAAAAACAGCACTTGTAGCTCATTAGTGGTTGGATTCACGAAACATCTGGCTTTTCCTTTTGATGTAATTTCTGTGTGACTAAAATTCTGCCTTCATTTTGAGCCGCTCAAATGAGGAGGTGCAATCACTCTGCCAGAAACCCATTAAATACGCCCGTGAGTCAGCCTGTGTAATCTTCCAAGTGTGTTTGAGAGAATTAGAATCCTTTTTCCCTCTGGCATTTTCTGGTCAGCTTTCCCAGGTTGCTGACCTCTCCTAAGGGAGATCTCTTTGGCTTTCACTGGTTGCTGCTCTGTGAAACTGGCTGGAGCTGGGTGCTGGCCATTGAGCTGCCAGGCAGAAAGAAAGGAGGAGGATGCTGCTAATGTTAAGAGACCTCAGCAGAGATGTTAAGGGTCTGATGGACAATGCAGCAAATCCAAGTGATGCAAGTGGCCAAGCTTTGAACTAACCAAGCCTTCTACCTCCCATTCTTTAACCACAAGCCAGCCACTCGGTTTTGATATTTGTCTGTTGGCTTGGTTGTTCAGAAAGAGTAAAAATGAAGCAGGGCCACAGCAGAAGAAGAGTTAGGGTCTGATTACAAGCAACACTGCTTGTGTAAAATGTGGACAGGGTCTTCAGAGCTTACTCCAAAGCACACCAGAGCCAAAAAAATGCTCTTCTAAAAGTCAGGCCAGGAGCTTACCATGCTATGTCAGGTGTCAGTACTGTTGCTGCTTCATCCTGCTAGCATAAAAAAAAAAAAAGAAAGCAGCCGTGAGGTGAGCTGTAAGCTCAGCAAATCCACCCAAAAAACTTCAGAGGAAGGCTGTCTGCCTAAGTGGCTCAGCAGCAGCTGATAGCCCCAATCCACCTCCTGCCATGTCAGTCAGCTCAGGCAGGTTTGTGCATTTATTGAGCTTAATCCACTTCCAGCCTAGTGGAAATTTCAGAAATTCAATGCAGATCTGCACCTGCTCGGCTTGGTTGTTAAAAGGCTGGAGCTGCAACTGAGCTCTTTGCAGAGGGGTTTCTGTTTCCAAACAGGAGTGCAGAACATCGTGCAGGCTCTCCTGTCATGGGGAGATGCTCGTCCTCCCCCAGAGATTCGCTTCCTGTGACCTTATTGCTTTGATTTATGCTGTAATTCATGTTTCTGTGGATGTGTAAATGCTCTGCTGCAGAGGAACAGCCGCATACTGCTGGTGGGAGGACCACCACTGCCTCCAGCTTTTATGTATTTCTCTCATTGCTTCTGGCCTCTTGTGTATGTTCTGCTAGCCTGACAGGATGCGCTTCACATTCCTGAATGTAAATCTCATTTCTAAAGTTCAGGCACTGGTTTGGTCTCCAGTTGCTGAGTGTCCTTTGTAGAGCTCCTTGCAGACAAAAAGAATGACCTTCCCAGGCAAGAAGGTCTCTCTGGGATGACCACACAGCAAGCCTGGTAAAACCATGGAGCCTGGCTGTTCTCAGACTGGCGGTGGGTAGGGATGCAGGTGAGGATGGCTCTTCTGGCTCCCCAGCCAGCTCCCAGTATCCAGGAGGTTCTGTTTTGCTGGATGTAGCCTGGAGATGCTCAAGGAATGTTTAGATGCTGTACTGAAGGATGTGGCTTAATGTGGAATTGGTGGGAGGTGGACGATTGGACTGGATGATCTTGGAAATCTTTTCCAGCGTTGGTGATTCTATGGCTCTATGTAGATGTGATGGAAAGTCTGCCAACTGTAGCTGAGAATTTGGACCATGGTTTGGGAGCTTGTTTTCTTGTCATCAGATGTGCCTGGAGGAGGCTGCTTATTACATGTGAAGGATACCTACATGCACATCCCACTCCTGTGCTCTAGTCAATCTTTCTTGATTTTTCTATCCTTCTGCTACTCTCCACCTGCTCATGCACTCAGGTCCTTTTGAAAAGCTTGAAATACATGTGTAATATGGTGCTACCCAGTCATGTTGGAGCTCTCAGAGGCATTAGCGAGGCCAGAACAAAATTCTCCCAATAGTGGTTCCTTCAGATAAGCACTAGAAACTACCATGTGCCTTTCTACAGACTGCAATTACAAACAGAAACAATGGCATATGATTAACCCATACTTAATATTTGTATATAAAAAGAATCAGGAAGCTTTGTAATCAGTTAATCAGTGAATGATTTGTCCAACTTTTATAAGAAGCCCAGGTTTTATATTAACTTGATAATTTAAAAACTCCTTCTGCTTTTAAAAAGAATAGCTCTTTATTTTGGTCAAAAAATGTTGTTTTGCATCATTTCTTTTCGTCAAGAGATGCTATTGTTGATTCTTGTTACTTTGGGAACCTCCTGAAGCAGAACCCTCCTGCGTTACTGCTGCAATTTGCACTATAGGGAATTTCTTAAAGCTTTGGGAATACAGAGATTGT